GGTAGCCATAGCACACTTGAGCTCTTCTTCTTTCTTGATCATTAGTTCTTCCAAAGAAACTTGAGACATCTCGAGAGATTCAATCTTTTCTTCATACATTGCATAGACTTGAAGTAGCTCATTTCTTTCTGTCTCATAAGTCAAGATTTTTTCACAAAGAACTTGTCGATCATTAGCTATCTTGATGGCATCAATCCTAGCCTCGGAAATCTCCTCCTTTAGTTTGACATTCTCACTTTCACATGCTTTAAGTTTCATAGTGAGTTTGTCATTCAATTTGGATAAGTTAAGAGATTCTTTATACAAATTTTCATAAGCTTGCTCAAGCTCTTCATCATCACTTCCCGAGGATTCATCATCAGTGACATTCTCAACCGGGCTCTTCGGATACTCTGTTCGTCCTTCAGTTTCGGAAGCCACCATGAAAGCAAGGAATTGTTTATGTCCCTTTTCGCTTGATCTTCATTGTCACTTTCATCTTTATCAGATTCTAATTCATCATCCCAAGTGATAACGAGGGCTTTCTTCTTCCTCAAACGAGTGGGACATTCTTGAGCAAAGTGACCAAATCCTTGGCATTCATAGCATTGGACTCTTTCAAAGTTCCCTTGTATCTTTCCTTTATCTTTCTTGGCTATAGAATTAATTTTGAGTTTATCTTTGCCTTTGGATTTATGAGTATGAGTAGATTCCAGAAGATTAGGATTCTTTTTTAGAAAAAAAAATTTAAATTGTTTTACAAAAGCATCCGTAATCGTGGAATCTATCTCACAATCCTCATCAGAATCCTCTATAGCTCTATGAGCACTACTAAAAGCAACATCTTTTTGTTTCTTTTTGAAATTCTTATATGCCTCATAAGTTTGGAGATTTCCAACCAACTGATCTAGCTTGAGGTTGTCAACATCTTGAGCCTCCTCAATAGCCGTAACTTTTGGTTGGAACCGATCGGGCAAGGACCTCAAAATTTTTCCTACAATCTTGGATTCCGATATTTTTTCACCTAAATTGAAGCTGGAATTTACAATGTCACTCAACTTCGCATAAAATTCATCAAAGGTCTCACTATCTTTCATTAAAAGGTTTTCAAAACTAGACGTGAGCCTTTGAAATTTTGACTGTTTAACCGAAGGAGTGCCCTCATGAATAATTTGTAAAATATCTCAAGCCTCTTTTGCGACTTCACAATTGCAAATTCGACTAAACTCTTTAGGTGTGACAATGCAAAAGAGAGAATTGATAGTTTTACTATTCCAGCTACTATTTTGGTAATCAATTGTGTCCCACTTATCAATTGGTTTGGGAAAAGTTACTCCATCAACGGTAATTGTCGGTTCAGTCCACCCATACATGACAGATTGTCAAACTTTTTCATCAATAGATTTTAAAAACAATCTCATCCGAGCTTTCCAAAACGAATAATTGGATCCGTCAAGTAGAGGTGGTCGAACCATCGAATTTCCCTCACGAATTGAATCCATTATCACAAATCAAACAGGATCTCGTTTAAAAGTTTTAAAAAACAAAAGAGCGACCCGCTCTAATACCAATTGAAAAATCTAGAAATCCCTTAGATGTTGATTTGTGATTATGTATCAATTTTAAGCAGTAAACAACAATACCAATCAAACAATCAAGACAAATCGACATAACGATTTTACTTGAAAAAATCACAATTGGACACCTCCAATTGTGATAAAAAAAATCACGGGCAAAAGCCACAAAATAATCCACTAAAAAGACATAAAGGAATTACGCAGGTATACTCTCAATTGCCTAGCGAATCCATGCCCAAATTGAACTAACCCCTATGTGTCTCTTCCAACCCCGTCTTCACCTCAGAATTGTCTCGACGATGAGCCACTCCAGAATCCACCAAAGCTTCAGGCTTAAATTCTTCAGAATACACCGAAGAACAACTCTCTCTTTTGTATAGAATGAACAAATGAACCTTTGATGTATTCTACTTAACCCATGAGTTGAATACTCAATTAAACATCAAAGAAAACTAGCAAAATATCCACATATATAAACCTTAATAACCAAAAAGAAGATCTGGAGCAGTAATCCTAAAATCTGAAAGAAACACTTACTTATAGAAATCTAGGACTACGAAGCTCGCTCGAGCGAAGACTCTCTCGCTCGAGTGAGGAACTAATCTCGCGTGTTTTTCCATAAGTGGCTTCACTCGAGCCACACAACCTTTGCTCGAGCGTTCATTCATCCTTCTCAGGTTTTTTGCCAGACGCAGCCTTCGCTCGAGCGAGAACTCCTTCGCTCGAGCGAACAAGGGCGGACATGCAACTTTAAATGCAATTTTGCATTTTGCTTCGGGGGCGCTGCCCCTCGATCCCGCCTAGGCGCTGCCCCGGACCCGCTAGGGGGCGCTGCCTCCTGGACTCCAGCGAGCTGACCGGGCAGCTCGATCCCCGTCATAATCAGCGAAGTGGCAATCTTGAAAGTATTAACATCACAAATTTCTCTGCAAGGCACAATTCGGGTTGGATTCATATCTAAAAATTCATAGTCTCACTGAAATAAAAATTGCGAAAATAAGTACAACTGAAAGGAGTTTTGTCAAACGGGATTGCCAAGAATAAAAACCTAACAACATCCAACCCATAATCATTATACTCTTCTCTCACAAAAAAAAAGTCAAAAAAACAAAAAAGCCAAAAAGTCCTTCCCAAACCAAGTTTTTTAGCCTAAGCTAAAATAGCCAAAAAAACTAAAAAGCCAAAAAGCCAACCCACTTAGAATATATTACCACTTTTTTTGTTATGGAATTGTAAAAGCATGATTTGAGTTTGGTTAATTGATTGTAGGTGGATTGGGTGATAGACCCTTCAGTGTCTAACTTGTCCTTAAAAAGGACAAGAATTATATAGACTTTTTCAAAAACTCCAAATATTTTAAAACTTGTTTCTTTTATTATAATACCCTCATATATGTATATATGTGTGTGTGTGTGGATCAGATTGTAGTCACTTTCTATCATTTCAATCTCTCTTTTTTCTGCTTTCTTCCTCACTCTTATCACTGTTGCTCTCCACTAGCGCCATCGTCGCTCTCCACCGATGCCATTACCGCTCACCATAGAACTTTTTCTTTACCGTCTTCATCACCACCGTCACTCGTTACACCTACAACCTCAAATCTGAGATCATTCACAATTGTCATCGCTAGAAAATGACAGTTCCCAATGGTTCGCAAACCTGAGATTTGAGATCATTCACTCTATCTCTCTCTCTGGTTTTGATGGTTCATGCTCGCTCTCTCTCTATTTGTGTATGCATGTGTATGTCACTCGCCATCTTCTCTCTCTCTCTCTCTTCTTCTTTTTCTTATTATTCTTCTTCTTCTCATGATCGTCTGTTTTCGAACTCTGTCTTCCTTTTTCTCTTTTTTCTTTTTATGATGCTCTGTTCTTTGAATAGTAAAACTTTATTTTGGTTCATGATACATCACTCTTCTGTAAAGCCATTCTCGTAGCTTGTTTTAGAGTAAAAATTTTACTGTCGTTAAGCAGATCAACATGTTGTTAACTAGAGCAAAATTTTACTGTTACAAAAAATAGAATACATACTAATGAACAAACCATAGTCAAATTTTGCTTTTAGATTTGTGAGCAAACAAACAAACAAAAAACTCTTAATTTTTCATTTCAATATCTCGATTTCTTTTTTTATTTTATTTTATCAAATATGAGTTCATAGGTATCAAATTTGAGATGGAGGTGGTTTGACGGTAAAAATGGTGGTTGTCAGTTGACTGTGAGGATGAGCAACGTCAGTAGACAATGAAAATGGTGAAGATGATGAACAACCATCGAATTAGTGAAGAAAGAGAGAGAGAGAGAGAGAGAGAGTTATAAAAGAAAGAGAAGAAAGAGAGGATATAATGATCAAATAAAATATTCAAATAACAAATTTTATCCTTCATACAAGACTTTATAATTATGAGATGATTTTGAAAGTACTAATTTTTTATTGGGCAAATTACATATACACCCCTCGAGGTTTGGTTAAATTACAGATACCCCCCTGAGGTTTCGGAAATTACATCCCGCCCCCTGAGGTTTGTATTTTCATAACAATTTACCCCCTGAGGTTTATATTTCATAACAAATTACCCCCTAATTTCTTATGCAAATATAGCATTCAGGGGGGAATTCGTAATTTCTCAAACCTCAGGGGGGTATTTGTAATTTAGCCAAACCTCGAGGGGTGTATATGTAATTTGCCCTTTTTTATTTTTTATTTTTTTTTTGTCCTTTTAATAAGAAAAGAAAATTAGGAAGGATTTATGACCAAATTTCCCTTGATTGTAATTAAAACTGAATGTAGACACACTCATATACTAAGATTTAAGTTGATAGAAAAAAAAAAACAAAGTGGTCATAAATAAATAGAACTCATCAATATTTAATCACACTTAGCCCAATTTTGAGAAATAGGTTAAAAGTTTATTTTAATTTTTTTTTTACTTTTTTTGAAAAAACGTGTAAAAAATAGAGAAATAATATAATCCAAAAAAATCAAAAAGTTAAAAAATTATCTTTTAACTCAGATGCCAAAATAGGCCTTATACACACATGCTAGTGTAAGTAGAATATTTTATTGTGCAAAAAAAAATTATTCAAAAAAAATTACATTTTACATATGACAATTTGAGTTTTTTTATTTGTAATATTACTTTTACTTATAAAAAAAATTTAATTTTTGAAAATATTTGTATATGCAAAAATACCTTATAAAAAAATTACATTTAGGATTGTTTGTCAAAAAAAAATTAATTATTCTCTTAATTTTTTATAAAAATTTTGTAAAAAATCAAAATATTAACTAAAATAACATGTTCCTAAAACGACCGTTATTATTTTGGTCCACCCAAACAATTATTGTTTATTTTAAGAATAATATTATATACACCAATTAATATATTAATTAATGTACTAATAGATAATGTGACATGATTTTGAGTATATATAGTTTATATAATAGGAGAAATCATAATTTTAAAATAACATATATTAATAATACACAAATTGATATATCATTTGGTGCATGTTGCACTAGTATTGTTTTAATTATTCTACAAATAAAAATAAAAAACATTAGATGACTTCGTGCGTGCTGATTCACGCTTACGTGGCTGTTTTTAACCACATGAGCGGATAGAACATAGTATTCGTTTCTGTTTCTGGTCGGAATAATGTCTCATAGTATTCGTTTCTGTTTCTTTTAAGTAGTCTGGCACTTGGGTAAAGGAGTGCCACAGAGACCTGAATTATTTGCATAACTATCTGCTGAAATTCGTGCATTTAAAAACCTTGGAACTGGCCCACTCAACAGATTGTTTGCTACATTAAAAGTCTTGATCCGTTTTGATCCGAGAAAGCAAGCCAAGCTCAGAGGAATCTGACCAGTCAACTGGTTGCTGCCGAGTTTGATGATATTCAAATAGGTACAGTTTGCTAGGTCCTTTGGAATTCCTCCTGAAAAATTGTTGGAGGAGAGATCAAATGATGTCACAAACTTGGTTATATTTGAGATGTTGGATGGAATAGTTCCATAAAGCTTGTTGCTGGAAAGATCTAAGCCTGTCAAGGCTGTACAATTTTGAAGACCAAGTGGAAACCCGCCCTTGAGTGCCATGTCTGAAAGCCGGATATTTAAAACCCTGTTCTCATCAGGATGCCAGCAATCGATACCCGTAAATTTACAAATGAAGCCTTCAGTAGCATTGTCGAAATTCCATGAACTCAAGTAATTGAATGGGTCTTCCAAGGACCCTTTTAGAGATTTCAAGCAATCTATATCGCTCTGAAGACCATAGCTGGAGCTGCAACTCAACAGCAACCAGATAAAACCACCAAAAAGAACGTTAAGAGCTCTGTTATTCACTTCCATGTTCATGAAGAGACCGTCAATTCTCAGCACTCTTAACACCAGAACCTGAAGCAAATATGAAAACATCGGAGTTTAAACGAAAACACCACTCCAGAAGTTTGAACACATTCTTAAGAGTTTTAGTACACGTAACATTGCTCTTAAAGTTCTAACAGAAGTAACTAAACCAAGTAAACTTCAAATTCTTAACTCCGTTTGGAATCCAGGAGAGAAGAAAAGAAATGATTACTTAAGTTAGGAGAGAAAGAAAGGAAGAGAAATGATTGTGTATTTATTTTCTCCCTCTTGCTTGGATAAATAGGAGAGAAAAGAAGATAATAGAGAATAATTTATGTCCTATATGTCTTGTTTGAGTAAACTACGTGAGAGAGAACAAAAGAAATTGTTTCATGTTAAAGTCAGTTTTTTCATTTTTATACCTTAAGGGGCTGTTTTGGTATTATGAAAAAATAGTAATCTGTTTTCTTTTTCTCTCCCAATCTCTTCGAAATGAGAATTTTAAGATAAATTGGTTTCTCTTCATTTCTTCTCATTTCTTTCCTCCTTACTAATCCAAACAGGTGATTTGAACAAAGAGAAATGCATTTCATCCTTTTCTTTTCAAATCACCAATCCAAACAGACTCATGTTACATTGACTACCACAAATATACATGCTATTCAAAGAATTAAGTTTCTACAATCGAGATAACACAAGGAGCAAGCAGAGTCTATTTAGCATGTTACCTAAAATTCAAAATTCCCATATCTTACAAAGATGAATATAGAGCAGATCAAATTTTCAACTAATTTAACCAGTAAACTCATGAAGTGTTACAAAGACTTTCGGTGCATACAATGAGTTCACCCAATTATCCAAATGAGTTTATTCAATTTAGCAATACAGAGGAAACTTATGTCAAAGATCAACCATGACAACTAAAATCAATCAAAAGATTCAGAACATGAAGAAAAAGTACAAATAGCAAGAATTCAAACTAAAATACTACAAGGATTAAAGTAAGAAACATTCCAAGAGTCGTCAAAATCGTGGAAACATAAAGACCCAATAGACTTCACCAATTCTTATCACCATATGCATAAAATCACAAAACCCAGGTAAGGTAAGGAACAAGAATTGAAATTGTCAGAGAATTCAAAGAAACCCACCTTAGAAACCACAAATCCAAACTCGTGAAGATCGCAGAACCCACACAAAAGGGGAATTTTGAATCAACAACAAAATATCGGTGTCTCCTCAAAGAAGATAAGGAAGTTTGTGGATTATAGATTCAGAACTGGAAAACCAACCAAAGACCCTAAAAGAGAGAAAACTAGCAAAGTCTTTGTTTGAATGTACAAAGCGAGCGAGCAAGCAATAGACTTTCAACGAACAATAAACTACATATAAAGAAAACTCAGTGGAGGCTAATAAGAATTATACAGCAAGAGAGAGAGAGACAGAGACGAGAGTTACTGCGTGTGAAATTGAGTACTTAAGGGTTCAAATTGATTGATGATCGAGTGATGGAATTATTGGAAGAGAGAGAGAGTGTCATACCGGGTCAAACAAGGAACGCCGGTCTTTCTTTTCCAAAGGTACGACTGGACTTAAAAAAGAGGGCAATTACTATGTGAGTATATACTTGCTTGACTTGCTGTGTTTGGCTGAGAGGGTTTGGTTGATGACCCACACGATATTTTTTTTCTTATTCACACTCCATATCTATTTTTTTTCACTTATTCACACTTTCGTCCAACACTTGTCCCCAGAGTCTCATTCTTGTCAGTACCCGCCTTCCACAGCCTCACCACCACCATTCCCCTGCAAACTCTAAGGAATTGTTTGGGGTGTTCTAAGTAAGTGTACTTTTTATCTTTTTGGATTAAAAAATTGAGGAAGAAAATATGAATGTTTGAGTTAACTTTTTGACTTTTTATGAAAAAATGTGTAATAAAAATTATAAAAATTGATTTGTAGGAAAAAATTAAGATTGGGAGTTGTGCAGCCGTAATTGTTGACTTTTGGTGAATAGTGTTAACTTTTTAACTTTTTGATTAACTTTTTGAGTAACTTTTTGACTTTTTTGCCATATGCCAAACTTGGCCCAATTCTTAGCCCTTTTTTCCTCTTCTACTGTCACTGGCACTGCCACTGTCATTGCCTTCTCCAACAACATTCAAACTCCTCCAATCCCTTTTGTTGCCCCCAACGATTTTGAGATCACAAATGACGAAAATCCTAAGTCTCCAACAACATTACCATATATTTAGCTCATACACTCACACATCACCTCCACATAATCATCTCTTTCTCTATTCATTCCATTTATCTTTTTCACATCTTCCTCGCTGAGCATCATAGCTTCCACAATCGCACAGCTTTCTCTCTGTACACTATTGTCTATTGTGTTACTCATCTCTCTCTAAAAACCTCTATTCACAACAACAAAAAAATAACTCAACAAATGTCACTACAAGAAATCCTGGCAAATAACACGGAGGTTTTTGCGACGGGGTGACTGCCATCATAGTTGCCGTCACCAAAAAACTCTTTTGCGATGGCGTGTATCTGCCGTCAAGAAAAAATAGACTTTTGCGACGGGGCTTATTCCGTCGCTAAAGATTGTAAAAAGAAAACTGCAGGAACATTGGCGACGCACGGAATACCATCGCAAAAATGTATTATTTAGCGACGGTAAGAAGTTACTGTCGCAATTGTGGACCATCTGTGACGGCAGAAGACCATCACAAAAAACTATGGATAAAACGACGTCGTTTCATGCGGTAATTATGATCATTTGCGACGGTTGACATATGCCGTCGCAAATAAATGAATATTTGCTATCCCGTTTTTTGTATCCCATTCGCGGTCAAAGTCCTAAAATCCCTAAATTCCTCAAATCAAAATCCCTCTGAAACCGAAATCCCTAAAATCAAAATCCCTCTGAAATCGAAATCCCTAAAATCTCCAAAATCCCAATCCATTGATCCAACTATTAGAAACCAAAATCCCCAAAATCCTCAAATCAAAATCATTCAAAATCAAAATAGTGGTGAACGACGGCCTTCGCAAAGTGACGCGGGTGAACGACGGCCTTCGCCCGAGTGACGAGCAGCAGCGACTGTGAACGACGAGTGACGAGCAACTGTGAGCGACTGTGAACGGCCATTCATAAAGTAAGTATTTGTTCTTGTGCATTCCTTCTCATTCCATCTCTTGTGAATTTCTTAAACATGAAAAAGAGAGTGTAGGTACTTTCTGAAAATTATTGTATGATTTAAGAACAATTTTGTTCTTAAATTGTGATTGACGTGTTCATGCTTGTAATTCAGAATATGCTTTGTGAACATATTAGGTTGTATAGTCAAACTCGTCCTCCATTTTAAAAAAAGAAGAAGAAATCTTTGATCCTATGAACGAAAGTAGTAAGATTGTCTTTTCTCCTTTCTATATTTGAAGACTGTAACTGCTGCATCAGGCCTTTAGACCAACCTCCAAAGTGGTTACATGTGCTTTGTATTTCAATTAAATGTTTACAATTCATTTGGTTTTTAAAAGTTTCACTTACTTTAGGAAAAATATGGAATCTCCTTTGACATCATTTTTTTTTTACAATGCTCATATTTTTCATGTTAGCAAAATATTTCTCTTTGCTAGTAAAAAAAATATTTTTCATTTTAACTTTCTTCTTTAAAAATGGGTAGCAGCGACAATAGTGGAGTGCCTATGGTAGTGTGAGGCAGTGGCCAGTGTCGAAACCAGAGCTGGGTCTGTAAAGAGAAAGAGAGTTGAAGAGAGAAAAGTAGAGAGAAGGTTAAATGTTACCTCTCTCCATCTAAATAATTGCTGGTGTGAAAGACGATACCGTGTTTGCCCCACTTACCAAAAAAGAGATCAGTGTATGTTGCCTTTCCCCATCTAAAACTGTCCAAATTGTGAAAAAGATCACTTCTGTTGTATGTCTCGGGTTGTTGAACTGAGTCCTTATCTTGTTTGTTTCTTGTTTGTAGTTCTACTATTAATAATTTGCTTCTAAAGTAAAAGAATTAAAAAGTCCCCTGTATATTTTCTATATGTAGAGAGATCTAAATATATACACATAAACATTTGATATATGTAACTAACAATTCGGGTTTCTTTCTCCTTAATGGATGACAATGAAGGATAAAAATAAGCTGACTGTAATAGCTGAATGGTTGGTTGAATGTTTTGTCCAGTCAAAAGATGATGAAGCTGGTTTAAATAGAGAAACTTTATAACAATGTCTTTGTGATGTTGGAAATGTGCCTTCTTGTATGCTGTTTGCAGGAAATTGCGTGGCAGCGGCTTGATGAGATTCAACCTGCAAGTGAGGATGTGATATCTCGTGGGACCACTGGCCTCAAGCTCTATATGGTTGCTCATTTCTTGGTGTAAGTGTCTTGGCACTTGTGTCTATAAAGTATCCGCACAGGTTTTTCTTTCTTGGCCAGTTTGTATAAGATCCAATGTCTTCTTGCAGATCTTTGAAAGCTTGGATTTTAGCACATAAGCCCCCAGCAACACCAAAATCTAATTTGCCTTTGAAAGGTTTGTCATTTCCTTTTCTCTTAAATGGAAATGCTGACACTTTCTGTTTCCTAATTATTCTAGGTGTCTTAGTTACTAGTTAATGCTATAAGAGTACATAAAAAATGAAAGCAAAGAAACTGGTAGTTTTTCTGTGTTTCTTATTTTTCACTATAGCAACTACTTCAGTTTATCTTGTTGATAGAATTTAGGCTATGTTTGGCGGTTGAACCATACCCAAGAGGAGCTACGTGGCATGTGGACAATTTTGAATTTAATTTTTTGAGGGAAGAGTTGGGTTTGGGTAGAAATCGTTATCATAATTTGGACTTGAGCTTGGCGGATGCCTTTGTGTTCTAGGTGAAGCATATTCACATGAGCTTTGATTCCAAACTTCGTAGGGATCAATAAAAAAAATAGAATTATGCTACCTGCAAATGGTTTAATGGTGGTCTAAGGTTATGATAAACTTTTAAGCTAGGATGAAAGATGGTTGGGTTATTGATGGAATCATTTTGAAATAGCTAAAGCTTTTAAAGTGTGAGGTTTGCTTGAATTAAAAGTTTATAAGAAGGTGGCATGTCGTGTCGGACACCGACACAACACAACACTCATGGGAAACTTCTCGACCTTTGCCAGAAACACCTCCAAACATGTTCTACTATTTTTTAAAATATTTTAGACAACATGCTTTAAGCACTTGGGGAACATGTGCATATCGCTTAGACACATGAAATACATTACAAGTTTTGAATAAAATAACTTGGAATTCAATGATAAAAGACTAACAATGCATTAGCAATCTTTAATTTAGTTTAATGCTTAATTTAAAATTTACTACTAAAGCTTTATCTCCATTGATTTTGATAGGAAAAGAATATTTAGAAATATATATATATAGAGAGAGAGAAAGAGAGGTAATAGAAATAAAAAGAAACGAAGCTAAAAGAAAGGAACCAACAAAAGAGGCAAAGTATATGTATGCCGATAAATATATTTTTGTGCAAGCATATATGCCAGTATTTTCCTATCTAGTGACCCAAAAAATGCTTACTGTCCCTTTCATGGTATAAAAAATAGCCCACCCTATGGCCTAAAAAATTCACTTCCATGGCAAGTGCCTCAAAAAAAATAGTCCAGGATAATGCACGTGTTTGGTTTTCCAAGAGACCTAAAAATCCAGCACATAAAAAACAACACTGGATATACACAATTTTAAATTTTACTAACTATTATAGGCTATCATTATGAAAGTCCGAAACTTAGGCAAAGCCTTAGACAATGGGGTTCCCGGTTTGGGAGTTAGAGCCCTATTTCGGTCTAGGCAAACTAGTTCTTTAAGAAATTTGAATTCGAGGTGTTGACGCCCCAAAATCACCAAACGGGATCGGATTGGCACGAAACTTGGCACACACGACCGCCTAGGCACGAGAGACTTGTGGGAGAAGACGGGACTCCAATGGAGTTCCCGGTTTGGAAGTTAGAGCCCTATTTCGGCCTAGGCAAACTAGTTCCTTAAGAAACTTGAATTCGAGGTGTTGACGCTCCAAAATCACCAAACGAGGTCGGATTGGCACGAAACTTGGCACACACGATCGACTAGGCACAAGAGAGTTGTGGAAGAAGACGGGACTCCAATGGGGTTCCCGGTTTAGGAGTTAGAGCCCTATTTCAGTCTAGGCAAACTAGTTCCTTAAGAAACTTGAATTCGAGGTGTTGACGCCCCAAAATCACCAAACGGGGTCGGATTGTCACGAAACTTGGCACAAACGACCGTCTAGGCACGAGAGACTTGTGGGAGAAGACGGGATTCCAATCGGGTTCCCGGTTTGGGAGTTAGAGCCCTATTTCGGTCTTGGCAAACTAGTTTCCTTAAGAAACTTGAATTCGAGGTGTTGACTCCCCAAAATCACCAAATGGGGTCGGATTGGCACGAAACTTGGCACACACGACCGCCTAGGCACGAAAGACTTGTGGGAGAAGACGGGACTCCAATCGGGTTCCCGGTTTGGGAGTTAGAGCCCTATTTTGGTCTACCCAAAATTATTTACTTAACTATCTTTGTAATTATATAGTAGTTAATTTTTTATGTTTTTTTGTAATTAAAATATTAACACATAATTTTATTGTCATTAATTTTTTTTATTTTCAGATATTTCCTAAGTAGCAGTTTGCTTCTTGTGCTTCTTGTGGAATGCAGGCGTGTGAAGATTGTGACAAACTTTTGCTTTTGTAATCCACGGAAGAATCATGACAAATACTTTTATTTTTGATTTATGTTCTTTAGATTTGTGAACATTATGTATGTATTATGCAACATTATGTGATGAGATAATTTTGATGATATGTTGTTATGAATGGAAGAATACTTTAATTATGGATGAATTTTTATTTATATACAGGAATTTTTATATTATTATATAATTATCGATTTTTTTTAGTTATTTTCATTTAATACAGGTAATTTTCATATTTTTAATAATTGTGTTGCAGTTTTTTATTTTTTTTATTTTTGGAGACGGTATTATACTGTCTCAAAAAAGGTTTTTTGCGACGGTAGCATAGCCGTCGCCAAAGATATTGCCATTACTAGTTAAGTGAAACAACAGGCCTTTAGCGACGGTATCATTCACCATCGCAAATACTATTTTTAGCGACGGTATTTTTACCTTCGCAAATAACCATTTTCAGCGACGGTATTTTTCTGTCTCAAATAAAACTTTTAACGATGGTATTTTTACCGTCGCAAATAACCCTTTTTTGCGACGGCAACACAGTGCCGTCTCAAAAACTTCAAATTTCTACACATTAATAGCGACAGTATTTTACCGTCGCTAAAAGGCACTTTTGCCGTCGCCAATATTTTGCGACGGCGCCATACCGTCGCTAAAGGCCTTTAGCAACCCCCTTTGTTGTGACCCCCCTATTACCGTCGCTAAAAGCCCGATGCCGTCGCAAAAACGTTTTTGCGACAGTATTTTACCGTCGCAAAAAAGTAAATTTTTTGTAGTGTGTCTTTGATATAAATCGGACACTCGTTCAACGAAAAAAAAAAGTAGACGATATAAATCGGACTAAAACTCGCTCAAAACAACATATAAAAATAAAAGTAAATGCTAACAACTTCCCATATGACACTTGCTAATATTAGAAAAGTAAGAATAAAGTGCTTTGAAAAAGTGTAAAAAAATTATAAAGTATTTTAAAATTCATAAAAAATGTATTAGATTTAATAATAAATGCATCAAGATTGATATATCTTTTACTTTTTTCTTATACTCCAGGAACACTTGTTAGCAAGACCAAAAAATAAATACACGAAATGGATATGTTGAGCTATGGAGCTTTGACAAACGATGGAAATGACGGCAGTGAAGGATGTAAGGGATTAAGAATGGTAATGGCAACAATAAAATAAATACACGAAATGGATATGTTGAGCTATGGAGCTTTGACAAACGATGGAAATGACGGCAGTGAAGGATGTAAGGGATTAAGAATGGTAATGGCAACAATAATATGGTAGGGATTTGGGCTAAGAGTTAGGCTTTGTAGAGGGGTGAGGGGGTTTCGATAGTAGAGAGGGGTGCCATCAGTAGGTGGGTGTAAATCTGGTCTCTCTCTCTTTTCTTTTATTTTATAATTAAGAAAAACATTATTTTGCTCTACTCTCGGTCACTCTAGAGAAAATATTCTAAAGGATCTGAACACGATGGAGTAAAGATATTCACACCTAAAAAATTTATAATAATGTTATATTTATTATATTTGCATGTCATATTATGTTACTGTCTCATTTGTTACCCCAATATCAATATAAAAATGCTATATTACCTATTAACGCAAATGCATGATATCTTCATCGTATAGGCCGGTGACATAGAATGGTGAAATAGCAAAATGTTGTTTGGGATAAAGTTTTTTGGAAAACAAATGTGTAATGAATATATATATATATATATATTTTAATCTCTGATTCATTTGTGAATTAATCCAAGAGAAAAAAAAAATATATATATATATATGCTACATATTGTAAATACCCATATGAATGTGCTTGAAATTTTCATGTGAATTGAAATTAACAGTTACAAATTGAATCGATAATTACAAAATGAACTATATTTAAGTTGTTAATTACAAAAATATAATCTAAGAATAAATTTATGAGACCAAAAATAATAAAAAATAAAAACTAAACATATTGAAACTTCACATAAAAGGTTTTTTTTTTTTTTTTTTAAGTTGTAGAACATAGTATTCATAATACGAATTTAAAACGAACCTTTTCATGCAATTAATTTCGGTGAAATGGACTTGATGTCCAGCAATCTTCGCCTTTTGGAATGGATGGATTTTTTCTTTGAAAAAAAACCCTAGCCTCTTTTATGGGGCAGCTAGTCAAGATCCATTTAGTGATTTCTTTTCCTTGCCTTTTTTTTCCCCCTTTAATTGATGCATGAGTAACTTATTTCTCAAAAAAAATAATAAATATAACTATTTCTCATAATTCTCGAGGCAAACTATGCATTTTATTTAAGTTATTTATATCTTCTTCTTTTATATATAAAATATTATGGAGAACCTATGCAAAACTATTTAATACAAAATTTACTTACAGCTTACTAGATAATTTAAATAAGCTCAAAAAATTTGATTATTTAAAAATTAGAAGACAGATGATTTTAATTTTTGATTTAGATTAACTTTTATCTGTAATAAGTTATACCAAACCACACCACCAAAATAGTGTGTTCAAATAAATAAGAATCGATACTTGAGTTGGCTTAGAATCGGGACCATCCTCAAAATTTTGAAAATGCCCTAATAGTATTAATTAACAATATTTGTAAATTATATATATATTTTTTTTCTTTTCTTTTCTTTTATTCTTTTTGAAAAGCTAAAACACGCAGCCCAATCATATTTTGAAAAACACATGTTTAGTTCTGGTTTTTAGAAAATAGTTTTGAGAAAATTTTATTTTTTTATTTTTCGTATTTTAATATTTTCAAAGAATTTTTTTAATATTTTAAGTAATTTTTAAATTTTTAGACACATCTAACATAAATACACTCTTAAAAAGTATAATATTTGTGAAAAAAATCTTTTAAAAATATACTAAATACCAAAAAATATATATAAAAAAAAACAAAAATTCAATACATTTTTCTTATTTTAGTGTATTTATTAATTTTTTAAAATATTTTTTCACAAATATTTTATTATTTAGATACATCTAAATAAGGTGCATCTACAAAAGTTTTTTAAAAAAAATTGCTTAAAATTTAGAAAATATTCAATAAAAACAAAAAAGCACAAAAACAAAAAAATTCAATTTTCAGAAAACTGAATTTGAAAAACTGAAACCAAACACACTAATTAGTGATATTGTAGGTTTTAATATATATATATATATATATATTACATTATGTAAGCTTAGAATACTTGGTCAATCCAATTATATTTGTTAGAGATAAAGGTTTTTCGGCAATTTTAATTTAAAATTAAAGTGGGATCCAACTGTCGGTTGATATGAATCTGAGTGGTTTTGTATTCTTTTACGTAAGAAAATTGCAATACAAAATAATGAGCCGAAACCATTGAGTTGTAAATGAGAATTGTCTCATAAAGTAGGCGTCAATAAAGTTGGGTTTAGATTTAGACTTAATCTTATTTTGGACTAGGTCTAGGCTTGTGCTTGTGCTTGTTCTTGTACATGTGTATGTGTTGGGTTTGGTCTTGGACTTAAATTTGGATTTAATCTTGAGTTTTGGCTAAACTATGTTGTGTTGAGATTAACTTGTACATGTGTTTGATAATTGAATTTGGATCAGGTTGTGACCCAACATTGGTATACATTTTGTGACTCATCTAGTTGGTTTATTCAAACATCATTATATACATATTTATTTGTATATATTAAGCACTTGAGAAATATAAATTTTTATAACTCTCATCTTTTGATGATGGAATTGATGACCATATTAGTGGCAATAGGTTTTCAACTTTTGTAACTCTAATCCTAATGGTTATACTTGATAGCCTTGGTTAAGGATGTTGGTTTTCCCTATTGAAGTATAGCTTTCATGGCTCGAGATTCTTTTACTTGTATAAATAGAGACATTTCCCCTCCAACTTGGTAGGATAATTTTTGGAGCGATTTTTTTATGAAAATTAGAGATGGTGTTTTGAGATAAAAAGTTGGAGATTTTTTTTTTTCTATCTTCTTTTACTAATCCCTTCTTTGGTTCTTGTTAGAAAGAGTGCATTCATTGTCAAGTTCGCCGAAACTATTCAAAATGTGCTTCTGTATTAGTTGGTTTCGACTGTCGTATCTTGGGAGACAGACGCTAGCATACCTTCAGTATCCACCGGGAGGCGATAAATTTGTTTTAAGGAAACTGTGATATCACACAAGTTTCAATTCACTTATTTTCTTATTATTTGTTCTTAAATTTTTTAGAATTTAGTTTTAATCTTTATTAATCCATGTTGATAATTTATTCTTAGTAATGTAATCTAATTCATATATATATTTTTAGTTGTGTAATTTATTTTGTATTTCATTCTTTAATAAATAAATAAATAAAATTGTTTTGTCATTTCTAGTTAATTTATTTTATATATCTTCTTGTATTATTATAGAAAAATACCAGCAAAAGCAACACTTCTAGTCTCTTTTTATATTCTGTTTGTGATCTATTTTCTTTTCCAATTTTTTCTTTTAATTATTACACTATAATGTTCACCTTTTTGTAAATCCAATAGTGTTTATTTGTTACAAACTATTTATCCAACATCATCTCTTTTTTTCTTAAGCAGGTTCGTTAAATGAGTGATTCAAGAGTGAAGTCAATGTGACGCAGGGTTTGTGGATTACTCGTCCAGCTGTTGTAATGGCCTTTGTTCTAACATGCGCACCTCAAAGGTACGCATGTCTACAGCATATTCATTTCCAAACTGTAGTTGCAGTAAGGCATGCATTGTTTGAACCTGTTGTAGAATGAGACGGTTAGTTTATGTGAAGGATGTGACAGTGTGGAAGTAGATTTGTGAAATTCAGCACGACATACCAACATTTTTGCTGTGTTCAGCTTGTTGGTGTCCAGTGTGGCGGATGCCAATGAGTCAAATAGGAACGCCACACGGTCTACCATATCTATTTTTAGGCACACCCAATGTACTCCTCGATAATTGAAAGGAATGTAAATCTACACATAAACATAAACACAAGTGAAGACATTGTTTAGAGGGCATGCGAACATGTACGCCCTTTCATATTTACATTGACATTCAAGTAAATGGGATCGACATTCATATTACCGACGTCCATATTAAATCTACTCGCTTCAATGGGATGGACATTCATATTACCTTCTCACATGCATCAAGCACCTCAATATATCTGTTGTGTCCAAAATATGATTTGACCATATTTTCATGGTTCAGAGGTTGAGTTTTTTGATTTAGTATCAAAGTCTGCATGTTTAGTGTGTAAAGTTCAGTCAGCCAAAGTTTTCTGAAAATATGTCTTCTGCAATACACAACCGACCTAAAACACTTACTTACCGACAAATATACTGGAAAGAACCACGCAGTATGCCTCCCGTCTTTGTGTATTTGCCGCTGTCCGTTAGTCAATTGAACCGCGACCAAGTTGATTGGCTGGAACATTGTAACAGACCAGGCAACTTGCGAAATAAGGTTTGCCATTTGTTTAAATGTAATACGAAATAACAATGTCCCTACATGGATATGTCCATCATGCAAATATAGTGGAAATAACATTGTCAGATGCCACGACTTACAATGTCGGATAGCCATGCCCCTGGTTTCAGCGTGCGCATGTCACGTCGCGTAGCGCATTCGCAAGGCATTTCATGCAGATTCATAGACACGACAATGTCCCTACATAAAACGTATACATCAATCAGTAAGAAGCAACCTACAGCCTAGTAAAACTTAAACGTATCTGGCTTAACTCTACAACATAAGATTAGTTTTTCCTGTTGTACAACTATGGCAGATATTCCTGATTCTACTAGGCTCCAATCCAATGAAGATTAGTTTTAAGTTTTTAAAAAACAAAATGAAAAGGCAAAGTTTTAGATATTACAACTCATGACATGTCCAATAGTATATGTGAAAATTGAAATGCTCATTTACAGGTCAGCAAGTTAAAACAAAAGAAACACGTTTTTTACAAACTGAAGCCAACAATATCCCAAAATGATCAAAATGGAAAATGTAAGCAGAGTAGAAGAAAATAGCTAGGGAAAATTGCACTTCATTATAAGTTCTCAAAAAAATTTGCAAATCATTGGTAAACTTTATTAATTTTCATAATTAAAATTATAAAGGTTTCCATGAATTTGTAAATATTTTTGTGAAAATATCAGTGGTTTGCAATTTTCCCAACAGGTACATATGTGCAGGATAAGACCAAAAGAAGAAAACTTCAGACAGGAAATTTAGCCACTGATCTTTCCGTAGCCCACTGCATTAAATTCAAAGAGAATCCTACATACGACATGGATAAACCCATCATAAACCCATCAAAATCATAGAGAATGAAAAATTAAAGAACTGATACCTACAAGAATCAAATAAACATAGCACGACACATGAAAATTGTGGAATTCAAACTTATTTCACAAATACTACGGAACAGGTTAATTGCGAGTACTAAACTCATCCGTACCTTTCATTGTTTCTGTCG